AAGGAGTATAGAAGGAGAATTGATGCCTTTGAGCTGTGGTGCTGGAGAAGAGTATTGAGAATACCATGGACTGCTAGGAAAACAAATAGATTTGTCCTGGAAAGGGTTAAACCAGGTGGCTCCTTGGAGGCAAGGATTCTAAGGCTCCGTCTAAATACTTTGGACATGTTGTGAGGAGAGACCGGTCCTTGGAGAAGGACATCATGCTTGGGAGGGTGGAGGGACAGCGTGGGAGAGGAAGGCCCTCTATGAGGTGGATTGATTCAGTGACTGGGATCATTGGGATGGGAGTGTCAGAGATAGTACGATTGGCACACGACAGAGCAGAGTTTAGAGCTGTTGTACATAGAGTCGCTATGAGTTGCAAGCGACTCGATGGCACATAACAACATAAACAACATAGTAACAAAAAGAATATGGAACTGGAGCTAAGAAAAACAATACCCTTCACAATAGCTAATCACAATATTAAATACTTGGGAGTGAATCTAACCAGAAACACAAAGAATGTATTCAAAGAAAATTACAAAACATTATTATAAGAAACAAATTGAGACCTGGAGAAATGGAAGAATATTCCTTGCTCATGGATAGGAAGACCCAATATTGTGAAAATGACAATACATTTCAAAACAATTTACACGTTCAATGCAATCCCAATACAAATACCAATCCCATTCTTCAATGAGATGGAAAATGCAATCTCCAATTTCATTTGAAATGGAAAGAGGACCTAAATAAGTAAAGCACTCCTTAAAAAGAGGAACAAAATAGGAGGCACCTCACTTCCTGATTTCAAATCCTACTACACTGCTGTCTGATCAACAACTATAAGATAGCATCTCACCCCAGTAAGATTAACAAAGTTTGACAGAACAGCAAACAACAAATGCTGGTGAGGTTGTGGAGAAATTGGAACCCTTATTAACTTGGTGGGAGTGTAAAATAGTGCAACCACTATGGAAGGCAGTGTGGTGCTTTCTCAAAAAGCTCGAAATAGAAATACCGTTTGACACAGCAATTCCACTACTGGGAATATGTCCTAAAGAAACCAGAACTGCCGCCCAAGCAGATATATGCTTATGACATGTTTATTGCAGCTATGGTCACAATAGAAAAGAGTTGGAAACTACCCCAGTGCCTAGGAACAAACAAATGGATAGAGAAGCTGTGGTATATTCACACAATGGGATATTATAGTGCATTGAAAACAGGGAACTCATGAAATATTATACAAATGGGTGATCCTGGAGGGTATTATGCTGAGTGAAATATCTCAGTCATAAAAGGACAAACACTGCATAATCCCACTGTTATAACACAGGATTAACATCAGGGTTAGGGGAAATCTAAGAAAAGAAGGTTTAAATATTATATACTGCGTTGAAATAGATGAGCGAGAACTGTTTGAAAGAAATGTAAGATAGGTATTATTTTCATGACACGTGTCCAGAATGAGAGCTTCTTGGGGTTTGGACTTGGGGCGGGGATTGTACAATAATAATGTTTTTCAAAGAGAAAAACCAAATGGGGGGAGGGGTTGGCAGGGAGGAAAATGTGCAACAATGAATGAATGTAAATCCAAAGTCTCTATAACCTTTCATTAAAATTTCAATAAAAAATTGAAAAAGACTCGTGCATATCAGTGATTAGAAAACTATCTATTTACTTTTAATACCAATTTTAGTACTTGAAAGTGTGTCAATAAAAGTTATGCAAATGTGTTTAGTTTAAAAACCAACTCAAAAAAATAAGTTAACAATTTCCATATACACGCACAATAATTATGCACACGAGCACACACACATTACATGCATAGCACCTTTGAAGTGTAGAATATATCTTCCCTCTTCACAGTGCCATCAGCAATTTTGCTTCTAATGGCTCTTCCAACTTCCTCTTCAATACAGTATACATAAGCACAGTCAATATGACGAAATCCAGCATCAATGGCCCATTTAACCGCCTCCTCTGCTTTGTTTTGAGCAACCTAAGGGAAAAACAAATAGCTGTCTCCAGGAATCCACTTGATTGAGAGGCAGTTGGTGCCTCAAGCACTAACTAACATTCAGGAGAATGGGCCATTCTTTCACATTTCATGTTCATTCTGGATGTTAAACCCATTGTTTATTTGTAATTTATACTTTTAAAGATATTTTTATTCTGAATTAAATGAAATTTAGAGAGAAAATTGGTTTTTCATCCAGTTATTTCTCAACGTTTTACTGTGAAATTAATTGCATTCCCCACAATGTAACCACATATTCTCCATTTCCTGTGTGGGTTTACTGATTTCTACTAATACTTCTTCTTTCCTGTCTCGACTTCATAACTTTATCCTTGACCAAGTGTTGCCCTCTGATCTGTGTGGCTGATTCTAAGGAGTACTTACCTCATTGGAATCACTGTTCACCTTATTGGTCTATCTTTTTGTGGAAAGTCGAGCAACAGAGATGTTACTGAATGCAAGGGTTCTTTCCATAGTCAATTGTCAATAAGACAGTAGGATTGCAATATCCGAATATACTTTATTACAGATCTGGGAGGACAGTGAGTTTCCCTCAAAAATTGCCTCCCCATTTGGGAGTGGCCACTAGGCTTTTATACCAAAGCTAGATACTAACTCATTTAACCATGCACTTTTGTTAGTAAAATGAAAGAATTTCTACATTTGAAAAAATCAATTCATATTTAAGTACTAGTAAACAGGCAACTTATAAGCTAGTTAACACATGACTGAGAAAAACAGGTTTGGGAAAGATAACAGCTAATTCAGGGAAGGCTACTTTCTTTCCAGGTAAAATAAAGGCAAAATAAAGATACAATTTACATATGACTGGGATAAACAGTTTTGAAGAGGTAAATACTGATCTGAGAAAGATTCATTTCCTCTCCTGGTAAACAGCTTAAACTACTTTACATAGGGAAAAGAAGAATTCTGAGGCAAGTATCCAGTTTTTCCTGTGTGTGTGTGTGTGTGTGTGTGTGTGTGTGTGTAAAATTAATTTTAATGAAAGTTTACAGGGATTTTGGATTTCCATTCATTCATTGTTGCACTTTTCTCTCTGCCCACCCCTCCCCCACAGTTAGCTCCTCTCTTTGAAAAGCAAAAGAAAAATTCTTTCATTGCTATACAATAATCCCCCTCCCCCCAAGTACACTCCACTATGCAGCCTTCATTCTGGACTCTTGTCATAACCATAATACCCAATCATATATTGCTTTTAAACTGTTCTCCCCCTCATCTGTTTCAATGAAGTATACATAATTTATCCAGTTTTTCTCAGTCTTACCCCGACCCTGATGTTAGTCCTGTTCTACAACAGTGGCACTATGCAGTATTTGTCTTTTTGTCACTGAGATATTTCACTCAGCATAATGTCCTCCAGGGTCACCCATTTTGAATAATATTGCATGAGTTCCTTGTTTTTTAATACAAGGTAGTCTTCCATTGTGTGAATAAACTAGAGCTTCTTTATCCATTTGTTTGTTGATGGGCACTTAGGTTGTTTCCAACTCTTTGCTTTTATGAACAAAGCCACAATAAGCACGGGTGTACATATATCTGCCTGAGTGACAGTTATGGTTTCTATAGGGTATGTTCCCAGTAGATCCATTTTCTCCAGCCTACAAAAGTAACTAGTTTTGTAGGCTGGAGAAAACAGATGTCAGTTTTATAACTGATACATAGATGACAGATAGATAGAGATAGAGATAGAGATAGAGATAGAGATAGAGATAGAGATAGAGAGATAGATAGAGATAGAGAGATAGATAGAGATAGAGATTTGATAGATATGATGTGGTGGTATATTTATCTTAGATATAAGACTTGGATAAAAAGAGGGAGGAATGATAGAGTGGTATTAATAAGTTCAGAATTCTCTATATAGGTATCAATTATTAAAACTATAGTTAGTTTTCTCCAGCCTGTGGGACTGGTTGCTTGACTTGGAGTTCTTAATGTCCTTTCTTTGATCATAAGAGGAGACAGATCTCCTAGAATAGCTGTTATCTCGTTGAAGTTGTTTTCCCCAATCGTATGTAAATTGTAACTTAATCTGCCTGTTTTCCTGGAAAGGGAGTATCTGGGTATGAATAATTTTCTTTCAGGTCTAGAAATTCTTTGGTTTTACTAACAAAAGTTTATTGTTAAGTAAGTTGGTGTCTCACCCTCCTATAAAAGCCCACGATCACTCCCAGAGGAAGAGGCAGTCTTGGAGGTGACTCGCTGTGTCTCAGATCTGTGTAATGAAGTGCTTATGGATATTGCAATCTGTTTGTCTTATTAGTGATTGACTATGGAAAGAATTCCTTGTGTCCAGTAACAGATATAGATATATATATCTGAGATACCCCTATCTGTTATTGTTGTTGTTATGTGCTGTCGAGTCACTTGCAACTCATAGCGACCCTATGTACAACAGCCCTAAAAACCCTGCTCTATCCTATGCCAATTGTACTGCCTCTGACACACCCATCCCAATTACCACTGAATCAATCCACCTTATAGAGGGTCTTCCCCTCTTGCACATCCCTCCACCCTCCTAAGCATGATGTTCCTCTCCTAGGACCTGTCCCTCCTTACAACATGTCCAAAGTATGTCAGATGAAGCCCCAGAATCCTTGCCTCCAAGGAGCAGCCTGCTTTAACCCTCTCAAGGATGAATCTGTTTGTTTTCTTGACAGTGCATGGTACATTCAGTACTCTTCACCAACACCCCAGCTCAAAGACATCAATTCTCCTTCTATCCTCCCTAGTCATTGTTCAACTCTGTGATGCATAGCAAGTGATTGCAAAGATCATAGCCTGTATCAGATGCACCTTAGTCTCCGGAGTGACACCATTGCTCTTCCGTACTTTGGAGAGGTCCCTAACAGCAGACTTTCCCATCACAATGCATTTTTTTTATATCTCTATCTCTATATCTCTGTATCTATCTATCTAGAAAATTCTGAACTTAATAATACCACCCCATCAAAGTGTTCATTTTCAGACTTGCAGGACTGCTAAGGGTCATAATCTCAGAAATTCCACTAGTCACTATTGGAATAGTAAAGCCTGCTTTTATGATTTTGAATTTACCTCCATCCTTTCTTCCCACTCCACCCAGGACCTCCTGTTATTGGACAAAAGGGCCTTCCGGTAGTTGCGAATTAGAGACGAGGTAGAATTGCTTTTAATCCATACATTTATTATCAGGCCTGGAGAGGCAGTAGGATCATGCCACATAGATCTACCTGCCTTTTTTAACATGATCAAGGGATATTTATAGAAAGTTACAATTCTTTCTGCTTCTTTTTTTAAAAGATATTTATTTATGTATTCATTCATTCATTCATTCATTCAGGATTGGTGGAAGATCTATTAACAATCTGC